ATAGGTTTATGGTGAGAGGGGAAAAATTTAAAAGGGACCTAAAGGGCAACTTTTTCTCACAGAGAGTGGCACGTGTACAGAATGAGCTGCCAGAAGAAGTGGTGGAGGCTGGTAATATTACAACATTTAAAAGGCATCTGGATGGGTATATGAATAGGAAGGGTTTAGAGTGATATGGACCAAATGCTGGAAAATGGGACTAGATTTATTTAGGATACCTGGTCGGCATGGATGAGTTGGACCAAAGGGTCTGTTTCCATGCTGTACAGCTCTTTGACCCTATGTTCCAATGAAAAATTGCTGTTTAATTAAAAAATATTATAAGAAATATTTAATTCTAAAATCTAAATTGCCAGTAGTAAGATTACTTGGATAATAACAACATATTCTTCAGACTCGCTAAAGATTGCTTGCCATATAACTAACAAAAAGTTACGCAAAAATAGAAAGCCCAACCCCAGCTCATTCATCCAATGTCACAGCATACCACAGAGATGTGGCAGACTCTTTCTAGGCTATACTGTGAGGCTCACTGGAGTTGTACAGGTACTAAAATATCATCTTAAGGAAGTCTATGGTCTGTTCCAGTATAGCCCTGACCATAAGACCATAGGACATCAGAGAAAAATTAGGCTATTTGGCCTATTGAGTCTGATCAACCATTTGTTAATTGCTGCTATGTTTCTCAACCCCATTCTCCTGCCTTCTCCCTGCAACCCTTGATCCCCTAAATATTCAAGAACCTATCTGTCTCTTCCCGCATTGTACTCCATGTGTCACTTCTTTGCCCACTCTCCTTGCCTGTCCACATCCTTCTGCAGCCTCCTCATTTCCTCTACACTACTTGTCCCTCCATATGTGTGTTAGCTCCAAACTTAGCAACATTGCCCTTAGTTCTTCCTCCAGATTGTTTATGTATGAAGTGAATAGCTGTGATCCCAGCACTGACCCCTGCAGAATTCCACTAGTTACTCCCTGCCATCCTGAAAATGACCTCTTTCCCAACTCTTTGCCTTCTACCAGTCAGCCAATCCTCTATCCATGCCAGTACTTTGCCCCTAACACCATGGGCTCTTATCTTATGTAGCAGCCTCCTGCCTGACATGTTGTCGAAGGCCATCTGGAAATCCAAATGGATCACATTCACTGACTCTTCTTTGTCTAACTTTCTTGTTACCTTCTCGAAGAATTTTAAGACTTTTTCAGACATGACCTCCCCTTGATAAAGTTGTGCTGACTCAGCCCTATTTTACCATGCACTTCCAAGTACTCCACAATCTCATCTTTACTAATAGATTCTAAAATCTTACCAACGACTGAGGCCAGGGTAACCAAACTGTATAGTTTCCTGTATTACATCTTCTTCCCTTCGTAAAGTAGTGTTACTTTAGCCATTTTCCATTCCTCTGGAACCCTCCCTGACTCATCACCTGGTGCAGGTGATTCCCAAAAGAAATTCCCTTGTAGAAGCATAGGCAGCATTGTGCCTCTATTCTGTATCAGTCTGAGGGTTTGTAAGCCATCTTTGGATGAGATAGCCTTGTCTCCCAGCAGTCATCCCTGTCTGGCCCAAGGATTTGGGAAGGAGGCAGGAAACTGAGAGTTCTCTACTCTGTATGCATCATGACAGTCCCCAATTTTTGGCACTGATGATCACAGGTGAACATTGATGGAGAGAATGCCTTTTCTTTTGATGAACTTTGCAGTTTGTTAATATGGTGTTCTCAAAACAATATGGGTGCAGTTTACAGTGCCCTGCACTTGAAAACCTGATAATGGTGGAGAATCCCACCACATAGACTATTTCTCATCATAGGGCAAGGATATAAACTGGTGTAGTCTGGAGAAAATGGAATCAGTGACATGGATGCATTTGTGGGGTCAGGATTGGCAAATGTCACATAGAATCCTAGTTGCCCCTTGGAACTAGCTGCTGGCATAAAATTTCAGGACTGATATAACTTTGACATGCACCAGAATGGGATGACCACTCATTCCTTCTGAGAGTATGTCCGATTCCAACAGATGACATGATTCAGTTATCATGACCTCGGACATTATTTAATGGTTGCTGAGAGTTGTACATAATCATAGTAAGGTCCATAGATTCAGGGTACAGTCATTTCCCTTTGCCTCCTTGACAGCTCTTCACCTGTTGCTTCTTCTTTTGGAGTTCTTGCTGAAGCCACCAGAGGTTACGGTTCTCATTGGGTGCAGAAGCTGTAACTGTTTTTCCCTTCAATGCAGTCATCACAGTTGCAACAAAGCCACATGGAACCAACCATCCAACTGTGAGTCCCATTACAGATGTAGGAGCCAATAATCTGTGGGGTGTCACAAATAGAACAGCATTTCAGGAACGGTCACACTGAGTCCTCACATCATTCGCTATGAAGTGTCAATTTAGTACCTGCGTGTGCTATGGAGACTTTATAAGGAGGCCATTTTATGCTTTGACATGTCACTCTAAACTATGTAACCATATCCAGATGTATATTGCATAACAAAAGTGTTCATGTTACACCGGGGCCTGACATTCAGGCACTTATTTACCATAAAAGCTCCCAAAAGAAGCCATTCTTAAAGATCAAAGATCATGTCTT